TATCCTGAAATCTAGTTTCTGAAAACAAAAAGTAATTGATGGACTCATTTTAATGATGGACTCATTTTAATGAATCTTATTTGTGTTAGTTCAAAGCAAGGCAGTAATGACAGGCCTACAGAGCCCCACTCCATGGAGTTTTGCTTTCACACCAGTTGTTTTTGCCTAAATTCCACTTCAGCCAAACTCTGAACCAGGAATGAAATTCTCAGTCTTTTCAGATTCTTGTGTAAGCAGTATATTAATTTAGTTAACCAGTGTTAATCTTTCATTCTTCTGAAGTTCATTCATTATTCCTTCTCTTGTTCTTTTTTATCTTTTTGTATACGTAGTCCTGGGGTAATTTGCTACGTGCTAACACTGTGTTTAGTTGAAGAATTCCCGAAGGAAGAACCAAACAGTCAAACATGAATTTCAGCTTTCATGTACATCTCTGGTATTTAAATTAAGTATGCTGTATAAAGTAGACGGTCTTGTTATTCTGAGTACTCCATCTGATGTTACAAAGTCAATGCTTATATTGTCAGGCTTTTAATCTTTTTGGTACCCTCTAATAAGCATCATTTGAGCATAATAAACTTTCCTTTAGGTTTATTTCTTGCAAACATGAGGTGAGGTTCTATGATAACAGCATGACAAGAAAGTCCTGAGATAATATAATAGCATTGATATGAAAATAAAGAAACTGATTTTTAATAAGTTTGTATTTTATTTGTAACTTTAGAATAGTGTAAAAGTTTATATGGAAGTTTTCATTCGCTACAATTTGTAACTCATAGTCCAAATAATTTTTTAAGTCTGTCCTCCATGGCCAAATACTAAGCACAAGGGAGACAACATGTATGATGTTTCCAGTGGAAATTTAAAAGGCCTTTTTTATAATGTATGATATATACATTAACACTTTGATGAGAGGTATTCTGCTAATTTGCATATGCTGATCTGTGTATTTCTTGTATGTTTCTACTACAGTGAGAACACCTAAAGTTTGAATAACCTTTGAATTTCAGAAATTAGTTTTTTAAAAGATTGGTTTTCTTTTTTGTTTCAAATTTCTTGAAGATTGTTATGTAATTTTCCAGTATTAGCCATTTTTCACTTTAAATAAAGTACTCCTGCAGAGTGAATGCTTTCAGTCTTGTAGATTTACAGGCAGTAATACTTGCAAATGCAGTTTTATGGCATCTATAGCACGATCCACCTGAAAATTACTGGTTGTAGAAATGGTGTACAAAACTAGACAAAGACTGGTTATTCAAAAGTGCATGTATGGAATGTTATAAAAAATGGGTTTACATTTCCCCTGGAGAACTCTTCTAAGCTTAAGTGTTCTCAGTCCTTTTAAAGATTAATATGGAGAAAGAAAGCATGGCTTAAATGCTTTTTTTTTCTTTTGCTCTGATGTTCACTGGTTTGTAGTTTATAAAGAGCATCAGCTTAGTTAATTTTATTTTTCTCTCAACTTTGGTTTCTCATCTTCACCAATATGTAGCCAAAGCCGAAACTTTTTATGCATACCCTCATATTATAGATGAGACATTTCTAAGGAGGTCATAAAGGCTTTCTACCACTCAAAATCTTCAGAGGCCTTGTTTCTTATTTAGTAAAGATCTAAAGTTTAAAATAGTTCCCTTATGATATGACTAATATTTGATTTTTTAAAAGAAATTCTGATTTTGCACTCAAAGACAGTTAAAGTCTTAGGGACTCCTAAGACTCTCCCTTTCAGGGATTTTCTGGATAGGGATACTGTTTTACAGCTACTGTTCAGTATCTGTAAAAAAAGAGATTGTTAGAAGTATTTAGGCTTAAAATAACCTGTCCCTTGAAACTTGTGCTTGAAAAGAGAATTTGGGCACTCTTGCACATTTTCTTCCTAGTCCAACAACTTCAACCTAAAAGCATCCTTTTTCTATGCCAACTGTAAGAATATAGTTTTATCTTGTGAGTTGTAGCATGAGAATTTTATCTTGTGAGTTGTTACATGAGAATTCATGCATCTGAAGTTTTCATGAAACTGCCTCTATCTTGTCTTAGTGTTGGAGCACAGGTCTCCTCTCACAGACACTTTTGGATTGAAAGCACTCCTATCATTTGCTTCTGCCATTTCAGTAGTAGGTGATGTAGGATGTTGATGTCATAAATAATATTGACACCCTCTATACATTAAAGCATTGAGTGGAGTGAAAAGAAAGGAAAGAGATTGCTGTAAAAAAAAAAAATCAGCATCTATTTTTTTGTTTTTGTTTATTGTGAAGCAATTATGTACAATTTTTGCTCTTAAAATTGACAATCCCAGGTAAATTTAAAACACTGGATTTGTATTCAATCTCTAGGATGACTTTGTAATTATTGAATTAGGTTGAGGTTGGAAAGGACTTCTGATAGTCCTTTGGTCCAAGCCTGTTGCACAAGCAGGGAGAAGCAACTAGGGCCAGTAATGTTTAAAATCAGTATTCTTCAGCTCCACTGTTTCTATGGCCTCCTTAATTAAGTCTTTTCCCTGCTAACTTTCCCACAATACTCATCTGTCTAAAAATGTTTTAGCTTTTCAAAATGAGTTGCAATTATATTGGTTCCTATAAGTCTGGGGATCACTATGTCTTACCTTTCTGAACAGAAGTTATTTTCTGATGTGTGTTCTCAAAACATTTTTTGTGTAACTGAAGATAATTTTTTATTGTTTTATGGTCTGTTCCCAGTTTTAATGTTACAGTATTACCACCACATTCAAAACAAGAAGTGCTTGCTTAGGTACAGACCATGCAGATGTGTATTAATGCCAAATTTTATGTTATAAAAATTAACCAGGAGTTTTTCTGAAACATTTTATTGTTATGTATACTTAAAAACTATATATACATCTAAGTGCTATGTATAAAAACAAAAGAAAGCACCTGTTAGCAGGAGTAGAAAAAATTTCTTCAGAGTCAGATTTGCATTCTGGGAAATTCTGTCATTTGACTTTCTTGATTACAGAACTGTTTCCAGAGCTGCAGATATATTTGTATCTGTAAAGTTCAAATAGGGGTCTCAACTGAAGTTCTGAACTGCTATCCAGATACATTTAACATTAGGTGACAGATATTATAACTTGCATGTGGCCAGTTTCTATGCCCGTTCCTTGTGTATCAGGCTTTCCAGTAAGTATAACTTTTGTATTGTTGAAGACAGATCTGTCAATCTGTGACTAACATAAGTTTCTTAAAATCATATGTCTCTTCCAGTGGCACATCTGAAAACCCAGTATATTTTCCCTTCTCCAGATGTCATTTAGAATAAGTATTCTTCATGTTCATGCCACCCCTGGAAGACCCAAAAATAATGTTTGTCCTAAGTTTTTCCTGAGCAAGAGAGACCTGAACTAACCCTCACTCTTTGCTAAGGAGTTGGGATGTACTGGAAGGAATGTGTACATATAGGTGCATAAATGCCACCTTCCACATTTGTAAGGAGCCATTAGTAACTGCAAAACTACTTTCTTCTGGACTAAAAAGAAATCTGTTATAAAAAAACCCAAACAATTTTTGTATGTGAAAATAAAAGTTTGTAATACATTTTTTCCTAGATTTAAAATTCTCAAATTCATTAAATGAGAGAATAAATTAAATATGTGTAGGTCAGCAAGGAATTTAAAAATGCTGTTTCAGATAACTGTGGAGATGTAGAATGAGGCTGTATAGGTTAGTGGCTTCGTTAGCTTTGTAGTAGCAGAAGTAAAAGTAAGAAGTTAAGGAAATGTCTCTACATTCTAGTTCAGTGAAACCATTAAATTTTCAATATATCTGATTTTTAATATGTGGGCTGTTGCCATTTGAAGACTCTCGAGTAGTATTATGTGGCATGAGATATATCCCCATTCCTCCTTGGTATTGTTTTTGAATAGATGCAGCATCTTAGTTGTGTTAAATATGAAATAAAAGAAATTTAAAAGCAAGATTAGAACTGACAGTGGCAGGCTTACAGAGCTGTGTGAATACACTATTAGGGTTAGAACCATAGTATTTAAAGCATTTTGTTTTTTTTTTCTCCTAAGAAAAGATACATTGCTGTTGACTTGCCATGGCAATTTTCTACACTTCACAATAAAATAACCTGATTGATTTCAGTGGTTACCTTTATTTTGAAAAGCAACAGTGTGTTTGAGAACAAAGAAGGGAAAACAGTTAAAACCTTAGTGAATGTCTGTTTGTGGTACTATAGTTTATAAGTCTGTACTACGGACATATTAAGGAGCCAGTTTCATTTTATCTGCTGTATGTTTTTACAATTGCAACTTGCTACGACTCATTTCAAAGGGGAAAACTGTAACTTACAAAATGTGATTAACCAGTTGTAAAGAAGACTAATAATCTCAAAAGTATTAGACTATTTAGAATATATAAATTTACTACTAATGTCAAATAATTTGTTCTGTCTTGTGCTGCTAACTTTATTATCAGTCTGATCGATATTAGACAACTGGGACATTCTTACACTACATACATGAAAACAATTATATTTTCCCAGCTATACTGTAATCCAGTTATTTGCTTCCAGAGATCAGTAGCTTTAAAGTATTTCTTTTGTTTCTGACAAATTAATTTTCTTAACATGAAGTCGGAGGACTCATTTTGAAAGTATGAAAAATCATCTAAAATTGTCTAGTGATTCTTTATAAACATAAATTGAATGTTCACTGAGTTTTGTAGTTAAATAAAATGAAAAATAGTATCAACTGTTCAATGCAATACTGCATGTTTGAAAATGGTTCACTTTGTAATTGGAGTGCACAGTAATTTGCTTTTCCTCAAAACTATCAATATTTCACATTTTTGAAGAAGTACAAAATCTTATGTTATACCTTTGGTTAAGTCCTTACTTACAGCCTAAGTGCCTGGTTTACTGGTTTTTGTTTGATTTTTCCAGTTAATAAAAATTAGAACTTCCGTAATGATGTAGTTTACTTGGCATTTAAGTTTATCTTGTCTGGCACTAAAGATTTACTTTACTTTTTAAAGGCTGTGATTCAAAGTTTCATGGAAGTCTACCAACTTGCAGTTTCCAGAGTTGAAATATTAGTGAAAGAAACAGAATCTCTTCAGCTTCACATTGCAGCCCTGAAGTCCAGGCCCCAAACAGCTAGTCTTCATAAAAGTAGCCTTACAAATGGTAAGTCTGCTTTTCAAGTAGTTTTTATCATTTCAGTGTGGCTTCTTACTCAGCATCTCGCTTCATGCTATACTGTTTCTGTAGGGAAATACAGTAATATTTATCTATAAACGTAATAGAGCAATAAAACCAGTGTCTTTTCCTGAAGAGAAAAAGAATGGTAGAAGTTAACACAGGGCTTAATTTTTACTACTGTATATTCTACAAGGACCTGTTCACATGCTCGACAAGTATATATTGTGAATTTTGCCAGTATATTAAACAGTTGAACTTTGGACATGAAGAATTTGATATCTAGAGATGTTGTATATTAAACCAGAATATTATTAGCTTCATGTAATCAAAGTGTTTCTTAGGAGATCTGAATTATTTTTAGACATTTGTTGTTATGAATAATACTTCTCAGTAAATTTACAAAGTTAATTTCAGGAATAATTTCTAGTCTAAAAATATTGTTGCCCACAAAAGTGCTTGGATTTGTTTAAGTGTAATAAGGTGGGTCTTCAGATTTGAGATCTCTCTCTAGGGGAATTACTAAATGCAGTTTTATTTGTGTCATACAGGCTGGACGCCAGACACATAAATTCTCACAAATGTGTAGCCAAGTATCTCTAGAATGAGACTGTGGAGGATGTGCAACTTACATATACTCAGTGTATTTCTCCCTATCTCTTCATAGTTTTCCACAGAGGATAAAGGAGTTCATTTGGAGTTCATTTTATTGATGGTGATTGTTGCTGTTGTTGTTGTTCTACCCTTTCTACTATATTTTCTTTTAGTCTTGTGTAATAAATGGTCATAAAGAAAATGAGTATTGTTTGTCTTTCTTTTTGAAACAGAAGAGAAAATGAGTATTGTTTGTCTTTCTTTTTGAAACAGAAGATCTGTAAGAAGAGAGCTGCCAGAATACAAATGATGCAAACACAGGTGTAAACATATATTTAAAGGCTGTGACTGTGGCTTTGTTTTTGGATGTGTCCAACAGAATTACATTAATTTCTCATCCTACTTCTAACAGCACAATGGGAAATTAGTGCAAATATAAGTTACATTATCAGTGCTGAATTTGAGTTTTAACATCTTGAAGTGACAACTGTTGAATGAAAATTTTGTTTATTTCTGATTACACAACCTTTCTAAGAAATAAAGTGACTTCACTGAAATTGCTTTTTTCTTCTTCCAACCAGAGTCTTTTGATGTCTTCTGCTATGTTTATGTGTGTCCTGCTGAGCCTGTGCCCAATGTAATTGGACTTCTCCTTTGCCTGTTATGGTTGTTTTTGTTGTTTAAATCAAGATGACTACTTGTTTACTAAAGATTGGGAAGTCTGCCAAACTTGCAGCAAGGTTTGCTTTCATTTGCATTGAGAGGGGTTTAACAAAGATTATGCTAGTCCTGTCTGTGAAGGGCTGTGCAGTGGCCTGATACATTACAGTGAAAACCAGCTCTCCTGTGTTTGTGATTAAATGCTGTGTTTTTTAAATAGTTTGTATCTGCATGCAGTGTCAGTGTAAAGATGATACTATTTGCATTGTGGAGGGGTCTCTTACCCCTCTGGGGAGAACACTAGTTCTTCCTTTACATGAAGTTTAATTTGAATCTAGGCCTAAGCATTAATATGAAATCCTTTAAAATTTTAATGTAAAAGTGAAAGGATTCAGAATGAGAGTCTCAAGTTGGAATGAAAAAGTGATTATGGTATATTTTGTAGTATCCGGGCTTTCTGTACATTTGTCCCTAATATTTGTAAAAGTTGCATGAAGCATGAATTTTTATAACTTCAGCATCACAGCTTTGCAGCGTGACTTAGATTTTAAACATTCTAGTTGATACTGTTTTGGTTTGATTTTGAGGAAGAGGTTCTACACTGAATTACTTTCTCTAGTAAAAAAAGCAGAACAGATTTTTTATTTTTTTTTTTGCTTATTTTAAATGAAAAGGAGCAATGACTTCTTGTGTACATATTTGGTTTTAAAATTAAATAAACTTTGTTGGTTTTAATTCACTGTCTTCAATCATATATCCATTGCAGACAAAATTTTACATGGAGGCAACAAACACAGCACTTGGACTGTATTGGCTGTAGGCCTTCATATGATATATGTTTGTGCTTCCTGAACAGTAACGGCTGCTCAATGCTGAAATACATTTTTAAGTCTTCCAGTTATATATCATGTATGGACTCTTACCTTATCAAATTGGGGTTTATTTCACATGTTGTGGCTGTTTCTTGGTGTCTTTTATGCTAGTTGCTTAAGGATCTTGCCCTGCCTTGCATAGCACACAAGTTTGGTCCATTCATGAGTATTGATATTTTCCATGTTTTCATGATATTGCTTTCCTAATTGACTTGTTTCTACTGAAATTTCACAAATATATTACCTTTCTTTCTATTCACACCACTTCTCTCTTCTGCTGCTTTGCGTTTTGCTAATAATTTTAAAAACAAAACTTACTGTAATGAAGCAAATTTGGTGATTCTAACTCCTTATCTTTTATCTCAGACACTAAATTGCCATCTCCATCCTGCAGTCCATTTCTAGTCCAAGCACTTTCTTTCTAGTCAATAGAGTTTAGATTCTGAGATTGTTATGTGTGGTCATGCTAATGCCAACAAGAAGGGATATGATTATGATGGACAGAGGCGAGATGAACACTGGAAACACTGCTTATAGAGAAGAGAATTATGTAGGGAGAAATGAAGTCAGTGGCATAATGTCTCTGTAGTCTTCATTAGTGCCCAGCTAGCTATCTGTCCTACTTGTCTATGATGATTCTTACTCTGTGGAGAGAAAGGCCCTGTACATTTTTAAATCCTGCAACTCTTTAAAATTCAGTATGGCTGAAAAACAACTTAGATTTTCTGTCTTCCTTTCTTCTTCTATCCTTCATTCTGCTCCCTCTCCCTTCCTCCTTCGTCCCCTTCCCCCCTCCTTTTTCTATTGTTCTCTATTCCTGTATCTCTTTTCTGTTGGCTGGGAGAGTTCTTGGTTGGCTGCTTTCAGTTTTTTTAACTTCTTCTGGTTTTTTTTTTTTACCAAATGGTTCTAAAATTTCCCTTTTTTTTCTTAAATGTCTTTTTTTTTTTTTTTTTCTTCTGTTAGGAAAATATCGACATTTTGTAATAGTCCTTCCTGTCTGTTTCTTGTTCGGCAACATCCAGTAATATAAACATCATGAACTGGACTATGCTGATTTTTGCTGCTTTTATTAATTTTATTTTTCTTCAGATACATTAGTTTATTATTATACTTGCACATTCATTCAGAGTTGCAGTAATAAGTAGACCTTGAACTGAGAGCTTAGAAGGGCTTTATTGTGCAGTAGTGTAGTCATAAGCAGTTTCTTAGTGGGTGCTGCATGGCAAAGTGTCATCATATTTAGTCACATGGCAAGTATGTGAACCCATGGTGTCCAAGGGGTCTTTGCTGCACATGTGTGCAGTGATGCAGGGCGTGGATGCAGTGACACTCTCTTTTCCAGGGTGACTGAATATATAGCAGGAACAGTGAACAGAATTCAGTTCATTATAAAATATTTTCAGAAAGTGCTCTTGTAGCTTCTAGCTCTGAGATTTTATACCTGATTTCAGTACTTGTGTCAGAAGTTTAAGAATGTAAAATAATCTGGTATCAGTTCTGGTAGACAAAAGAAATCATTTTTGTTACGACAAGTGCTTCTTATCAGGTGCTTTTCTGAACTTGCATGTGCGCTTATCTGGTGATACTCCTTCCTTTTTCTGTTTTCACCTCAGAATCAAAGGAGAATAAAAATGAAGAGGAAAATACATTCTAAAGATTCTGAAGAGAGAAAATCTTTGTGTGTACTGGAGAAATGGAAACTGGGGGACCCAAAAAGACAACTTTATCTGAAAGGGGGAGAAAGTGAATTTCAGATGGATGAGAGGGGTGAAGTAAAAGAGTTCTGTAAATGTAGCATAATTCTCTAACTGTGAAAACAAATGCTGTCTTTTGATGCTTCTCCCAGCTGAGATGAAAGTAAAGTCTCTTGATGGTTTAATATGGGTATATTTTTGTGTCATACCTTTTTCACCACAGTTGTGTTTGTGTCTATCCTTTGTCTGGAAATGTCTAGTAGTATCACTTAAAATATTGAAAATACAGAAATGATGCCTTTTGTAGAGGTGAGAAAAGCAATCTGAATGATTTTTTGCATGAATAGTATGTATTTGTTCTTGAGATTCTAGTGATCGACATATAGTTTCATACTTCTCTGTTGTAAAACTGCATTAAGCAAGATGTACACTTTCCTCTCTACTCAAAGCAGTCAGCGCTGAGTTCTCATGATCTACCCTGTTTATAGGGGGTAGAGAGAAAAACATATTTAAAACTCACACTTACCAGCTAACTATTTCCCTGACATTTTCTCCCTACTTAACCAGGCTGATTGGGGCAGTGATTTTACAAGTCCTTCCTTCATATACTTTGTTTCCTTGTCACCAGTTCAATTTGTTCAATCTGTTATAGCAAAACCCTGCATCTAACAGGGATGCATTGTCCTAAATTTAGAATTTTGAGGATGGAACAACAAAGCAAAAATCCTAACTATTTACCTGTTCTCTTGAAGCATAAGGGAAAGGTATTTATCAGTGTCATGTTAAATGTCAGAGGGTGTCTTTCATGGGCCAGAGCCATATCTCTAATATAGCTAGGGGAATTCTTCCCAGATGTTGCAAGAAGCAGGTGTGTCCTGAATGAAAACTCTCTGTTGTAGTTTGACACTGGCTCAATGCCAGGCACCCACAAAAGTCTGTCACTTACTCTCCCCTACTGCAGCTGGGCGAAGGAGAGAAAAATTTAATGAAGGCTTCATGAGTTGAGATAAGGACTGGGAGAAAACACTCTAGGGGCAAAACAGGCTCAACTTAAAGGTAAAACATGAATTTATTATTAACAGAGTCAGAGGAGGATAGTAAGAAGTAAAATAAGCACTTAAAAATACATTTTCTTCCCCCACACCTCCCTCCTTCCCACCAACAG